CAAAAAGTGGTGGATGATATAATTCCCGTCCTACATTTGTACAGAGATTTGTACACCACTGTAATGAACAAAAAGTGGTGGATGATATTCCTGTCCTACCTTTGTACAGAGATTTGTACACCACTGTAATGAACAAAAAGTGGTAGATGATATAATTCCTGTCCTACCTTTGTACAGAGATTTGTACACCACTGTAATGAACAAAAAGTGGTGGATTATAATTCCCGTCCTATCTTTGTACAGAGATTTGTACACCACTGTAATGAACAAAAATGGTGGATGATATAATTCCCATCCTACCTTTGTACAGAGATTTGTACACCACTGTAATGAACAAAAAAGTGGTGGATGATATTCCTGTACTACCTTTGTACAGAGATTTGTACACTACTGTAATGAACAAAAAGTGGTGGATATATTCCTGTCCTACCATTGTAATGAACAAAAATGGTGGATGATATTCCTGTCCTACCTTTGTACAGAGATTTGTACACCACTGTAATGAACAAAAATGGTGATGATATAATTTCCGTCCTACCTTTGTACAGAGATTTGTAAACCATTGAAGCACAAATTTACAAACACTGGAATTTCAAGACATTCAATAAATGATGCTCCTCAAACACTTAAAATTGAATGTTTCTCCAAAAGGTATTATACTGCATAGAAAACAATATTCACTTTTTCTTGTCATTTGCTCCATTATCTTATTTCTGAATTAAATTAAAAACTCAGTGTTATAGTAAAGCTAAAAAGTGTATTAAAGAAAATTAGCTTGTTTTATAAATAATCAGCACTGATGACACAACACTTACAAATAATCAGTTTTTAAAACTCAGATGTGTAAGTTTCTCTCATTATCAAAAAACAAACATTGAATGAAAACTCTGATTATTCAAGATTATTTATTTCAACCTAACACAATTTTCTCTTTCTAATTACTTTACAGGAAAATGATGAAGTACTGGTTGCAGGATTTGGGCGTAAAGGTCACGCTGTTGGAGATATTCCTGGAGTACGTTTTAAAGTTGTGAAAGTTGCTAATGTGTCACTTTTAGCTCTGTACAAAGAAAAGAAGGAAAGACCAAGATCATAAAACTATTGCATACTTTGTATAAAGTTTATGATGACCAATAAAACTTGATATTTTGGTTTAAACAAAGTAGCATAAATGTGTGCTAGTCATGTTGTTAACATAACCATTTTCTGACAGTGAAGGTGATATAATAAATGTTTCATTAGGAAGATTTCTTTATCAAGTGTAAAATAAAATATTCCCAAATACTTTAAAACTATTTTAGTAATACACAAAATGAATAGAAGAGTATTGTATTATGAAAAAGAAAAGACTGAAGCAGGGGGGTGGTGGTTACAGACTGTTCATATTGTTAGAACAAGACTATACAACTGAAGCAGGGGGATTACAGACTGTTCATATTGTTAGAACAAGACTATACAACTGAAGCAGGGGGATTACAGACTGTGTTCATATTGTTAGAACAAGACTATACAACTGAAGCAGGAGATTACAGACTGTTCATATTGTTAGAACAAGACTACAACTGATGCAGGGAGGGATTACAGACTATGTTCATGTTGTTGGAACAATACTGAATAACAAGACTCTACAACTGAAGCGGGGGGTTGTTACAGACTATGTTCATATTGTTAGAACAAGACTGTACAACTGAAGGGGGGGTTGTTACAGACTGTGTTCATGTTGTTAGAACAAGTCTATACAACTGAAGCAGGGGTTGTTACAGACTATATTCATGTTGTTGGAACAATACTGAATAACAAGACTATACAACTGAAGCAGGGGTTGTTACAGACTATGTTCATGTTGTTGGAACAATACTGAATGTGGTAAAATACTGTAAAATTGTATCCAACTGTAGATTTTCAGGAGAACAGAATATCTGAATTACATCTGTTTTTTTACATCAATATATTTTAAAGTATGTTTATAATTATCACATAAGTTGGTTTTAAATTAATATAAAGTTTAAATAAAATGAAGGTGGGAAACCTGCAGAAATTATAATTGAATGTTTATTTACCTGGTCGTGTGTAAAAATATAGCATTTAATTGTAGAGGCTGCGTTTTTATTTAATATCTGGTTTGTCAATCAAATAACGTTGAAAACACCTATTCAGTGGACCTTCTAAGGAAACTTTAATTTTTGACTAGGCAACAATTGAGTAATACCTGTTTTGACAGCATACATCTTCAGATGATCTAAGGTGAAAAATCAAATTGATTGAGGCCCATCAACATGGTTGCACAAGTATCAAGCCACCATTATTTGTATATGTGTACCTTAAAAAGTTTGTTTTTCTCAACAATAGCACGTAAAAAGTTGTAAAGTAGAAGAAGCTGGCTAAATTCATAACACCTACATAATATTCACAGGACAAAAAATCCTATCACAGTGAGAGCCGCACAACTAGTTACACTAAAGTATTGTAACGAGATGTTGGAGAAACTCTCCATGAGTTGGGAGAAATTATTTTATAACAATACATGTACATGTTGAAACCAATCCTACGTAGCTGTAGAAGTAATGTGAAAATCTGGATTATAAACTTCGTTATTAATGAATCTTCTTAAACTCTTGATCAGTAGTACGTGAACATTCAAACCATAAAAGTAGAAGCTTGAGTGTATATTAGACTGAGGTCACGTGTAAATGTATACTGCAGGCCGAATAATCCAAACTTTATATATTGTCACACTTAAAGTCTGAAACACTGTAATTTAAAATTCGTCGCACTTGGTGGATTTCACTGAAAAAAATGGAGAAGCTATCGTCATGTTTGGATTTTTTTTTCAGTTGGTTAAATAGAGCATGTAATGAACATAGATAAATCTTTACATTTTACACGCGTGTTTCACAATGCCATTTTATAAATAAACGCCCGCCAGAATTTTGTTTGGTTTTGTTATGAATTTTGTGCAAAGCTACATGAGGGCTAGCCGTCCCTAATTTAGCAGTGAAAGACTAGAGGGAAAGCAGCTAGTCATCAACACCCACCGCCAACTCTTGGGCTACTCTTTTACCAACGAATAATGGGATTGACCGTAACATTATAACGCCCCCACAGCTGAAAGGGTGAGCATGTTTGGTGGAACGGAGATACGAACCCGCAACCCTCAGATTGGGAGTCAAGCACTCTAACTCCCTGGCCGTGCCAGGCCACCCGGAAGAAAGACCTGTAAAAACCTAGCTGTTCCTGTGTAACAACTGAAATAGTCATTAATTTCAGCCTTTCACAACTAGAATATATTTTTAGTCAAATATATTCAGGTAAGTTTTTCTACAGGTGTCCTGCATGTAGTATGAAATTCTGATTACACTAAATGTCAATAGGTTATAAAATTATGTAATGTTGCATACGCAAATGGATAAAAACATATATCACTTTGGCCATGTGTCTGTCCACCCTGGGGAAGGGCAATCCCATCTAAAGGGGTGGCACAAATACTTGTACAAATTGGTATGAGTTAGGAGTTTTTCCCTCCTTAAATTTTATTTGGAATAGTTGGTGACACATGCAGTATTGGATTTTTGTGTACCACACAGTTTTGTCTGAATTTGAGTGGTAATTCAGAATTCTCTGTATGACGTTACTTGAACCTGGAGTTTTGCAGATATGTTAAAAATTGTTTGCTGGATATCAGTGGACCTGAATATCACACCTACAGTTCTGATTGGATGTGTGAATCAGATCATACGACGAGTTCAGGTGTTAGTCAAGTAGAATTACTATAGTTGGGTATAATGGCGTCTGTAAAATATCTTTGTCATCTAGCTGTAATTTGGTTGTAGCTCGTGTTCTACTGTAGTAACTTCTAAATAAAGCAAAATGTAAAATTCAAAAACACCACTCCATTTCAGAATAAAAACACTACTACGTTATTAGTCAAGAATGTTACTAAAAAAGCCTTACGATAAGCTTATACAATACGCCTTCGAGTCATATGGAGAATCCCCTACCTAGTAGTTTATTGCCCAATATATATATATTTGTTTGTTTGTTTGTTTGTTTTTAATTATGCACAAAGCTACACAAGGGCTATCTGTGCTCTGCCCACCACGGGTATCGAAACCCGGATTCTAGCGTTGTAAGTCCGCAGACATACCGCTGTGCCACTGGGGGGCATATATATATATAGTTTTGTACAAGTTGTTTCTTCTTAATAATTGTATTTTTAATTTTTCTAGACAAGTCGGTGCAGGTTAAGTGACAAAACTTAGATGTAAACATATTTTTCAATGTATTGCAGCAACGTAGTCCATACCATACATCATAAAAAGAAGAAAATATATATCGATGCAAAATATCACATTAAATGCCGAAAAACTTAGATAAAACCCAGAACTCGAGCTTTTCGATACTCGAATTAAGAAACATTGTACGTGGCTATTTATGTGAAAATTGAAGAAATGTATTTTATGTATAAATTACATTACAAAATACTTTAAGTATTCCTGTACCTTGTATCCTAGAAGAGTATTTTGAAATATAATGTTACTACCGACGCAATTTGAACGATTAAAGAGCTAGCAAATACATAGATCATTTCTATAATGGAAGTCTGCTAAGCAACAGATCAAAAGTACGATATAGAAAATAAGCGTACACTAATTCTTTTTTTTTAGATAAAAGTTACATACTACAAGGTTATACCATAGAAATTTAACCCTGGTTTAGTTTGGCCTAACATATTATTGAACGAGAATTTCTACCTAATGAATTAATTTATTATAATCATAAGAAGAAAGTATGATATATTAATTTAACTAAATTCATTGCTGGTAGCTTGTTTTGATCAGAATTTAATGAAAATCTATTCCATGGGGTCGGGGTAAGCCCATTTAAAGGAGTGACACAACTGCACAAGTTAATATGGGTTAGGGGTTTTCTCCATTTTATATCTTATTTGGAATAGTCCTTGACATATGTAATATTAGGATTGTGAATGATTAGCAGGAGTTTGGGCTTTCTACCTTCTACATCTTATTTGGAATAATCAGTGACATATGAAATCTTAGGAGCGTAAAATATTGTAGAGGACCCTGGTGCAGTATTTCATTATGCTTTGCTTTGTCCTGTTTTTCTACCCCAGCAACCAGTGAGAGGTCACAAAAGAGCCTGAAGAGTACTTACCGTGAATAAACAGAATGTTGTCCTTGTTTGTTACTCTTCATAATATTTTTAGTGTAACTTCCTGAATATAATACTATTGTTTTAACGTTGTTCTTTCTTTCATGAGCTCTTTTAAATTATCTGGTGAAAATAATTGAACGTCCAGTTCACTTAATGATAAATAATTATTTAATTTCTTCTCTGACGTTTCTGCAACCTTAAACACTTTTGCACTGTTGTAACGTGTTGTAGGCCTACGTTTATAGCCAAGCTAACTGCACTATACTAACGTAAAAACCAACTTACTTGTCCAAAGTAACTCAATCTTCAGAAATGCAAAAACAACGACTGATTCACTTTGCTAGAAGACAACTTTCTATCTTCTTGATGTTTCATTGCAAGTTTACTTAGACAATTGACTAGCTCACCCGTATTTATAATCAGTCCTTGTTCTAGAAATATAGTAAACTCCTTTGAAGTGACTGTTTTTAGTAAGTTTGGGTTGGTATATTTGTAGTAAAATAATAATAAAAAATTTAATATAAAAGTAAATGTAATAAAATAAAAGCAGCTGCTAAATAAATAATAAAAAACAGGAATTTCGTAAAAATGCTTGTAAAAAATTTCAGATATGAACCAAGAATGAAACTCTACAAAGAGTGTAGCTAGGCGTTGCTATAGCTCAGAGAAGTTATGTTCAGTATTACGTAAAATGGCTTTATCGTATCGTAGACATATGTGTTTCATATGTCATTTTTAGCGTGTGTTAACTCGAATATAAAAAGCTAAAACTTTATTAACCGTTTCTTTATTTAAACTACACACACATTAACACTATGGTTTTAACATTACATTGAGAACTACCGAACAAATGAATAGTTAAACTATAGAAATGGAATCTTGGTCACTTAATTTTGCACCGGTATTTCTCAACCGAATATAAATAAATCTCTTGAATAATAAAAGAAAAAATTGTCTAGGTTTTCACTGGATATAGAAAAGGGCTGTTACTGC